TGTGTCGGTTGACCGGCGTCAGTCCCGGTCCCACAGAAAGCAATTTGCGGCCACTGAAATGGAGCGATATGAATCTGAACGGGTTTGCATGTTTTGTTTTTTTTGTCTCCTTGTGAAGGTACCTGTCTGACCTGCATGCACCAGGTGACCCGGCATGGCAGTGTATCTACGCTCAGCACAAATGGATCCTGCAGCTGATGCAAGACTGCAGGGACGAGTTTATCGGTGGTCAGAGAGGTAACAACCGCACATGATGCTTTGCATTATAAAAAAAGAAGAAAAAAAAAGACAGTCTAGCATTTCCTATCAGGCAGCTGATAGATGTCGTACGAGTCAGAATTCAGGGGAAGTCAGCCTCCAGTGAGGTACCGCCCTTGGTCGACATTCCCTACTCCGTCGTCACCCTCCCATGCCTGCCTGTTGGATTTAAGGCCCGCGTATTTATTTTTTCTTGAATGTATGAATTAGATAAAGCGAGTGGATTTGGGTTTCGGGGCTTGGCCCGTGCAGTCCATCTCGTGCAAATTCACTTTCGGCGTCGTAGATGGATTGAAACAATTAGCCCCAACCAAAACAGCCTGCACAAAAATGTCATTGAAAAAAAAAAAATGTCCGGGAAGGACAGTGATTCAGCAACCGCACACGTATATACACTTGCACTTCCGAGATCGTACACTCAAGGCATTGAAGTCCAAATTGGAAGTGGGTGGCTGTGCCACTCAGCGGAGTTGGAATATAAACATGCCGAATGCAAAGAGCAATTTTCATCTCGGTTGCTTTGCCGGTTGCCTCTCCACAGGTCAACATTGGTCTGGGTTGTCATATCAAGTCACACACGCACCCTATACTATATGCAACGAAAAGAAGAAAACTTTGCCGCACCTCCACAGGTCAACATTGGTCTGGGTTATCATATCAAGTCACACACGCACCCTACTATATGCAACGAAAAGAAGAAAACTTTGCCGCAACTCCAAAGCAGCCTTTCCCGCGAACGTCAGTCGTCTATCTTTTGCCACGTTGTCGTTTTGTTGCTCGAGTCCAGAAGTACTGCGTCGAGTCGGCAATTTGGTCTTCACTGTTGAAACCTTTGGCTTTTTAAATAGTCTTGACTTGTCGTCGTTTTATAATCACTCGCAAATACGCGCTTCAAGACCCATGTCAGTCGTCTACCTTTTGCCACGTCGTCGTTTTGTTGCTCGAGTTCAGAAGTACTGCGTCGAGTCGGCAATTTGGTGTTCACTGTTGAAACCTTTGGCCTTTTAAATAGTCTTGACTTGTCGTCGTTTATAATCACTCGCAAATACGCGCTTCAAGACCCACCTCCGAATGCCGACGAGTTCCCTTTTACGAATAAAAAAATGCCTGGTAGAGCGTTTTGAGAACAAGCTGTTTCCCTTTTTGCGTTTTGTGTATTGTATGGAATTGAAAACTTGAATGGCGTGACCACAAACTAATTAGCGGTCACGTAAACACAGCATCTAGCTGCTAAGTTGTAGAGAAGGTTGAGTTGTTGGGGTCGGCGGGGGGGGGGGGGGGTGGCTTTTTTTCCCCTCAAGTGATTTCGTCGAGTGCTCCTCTGGAGTCTTTTATTCCACCGAAAGAGTTCAAATCAGAGGCTTGATTGGTCAGAGATCCAACTGATATTTTCTATCTTCTCCAACAAATGACCGTCGTTGACGTTTTGGGACGGATTGCAGACTTTCTCTTTTGTTTTTCTCTCAGCTCCCCCCCGAGCCCCTCCTTCCCTCCGCTGCACACACTCAAGCAGCTGGGAGCTATTCACCCCTTGTGGTCTTTACCGCTCACCTCTTGGCCGACAGTTCTGCCTCTTGAAATCTGGAACCATCCCTTCACCCAGGCAACCTTCAAACAGCCACCACCGGGGGAAACCGCATCCACTGCATGCCTCAGCCTCACACTTCCTTCCCCTCTTCCGACCCGCCGTTCGCTGGCCTAACTGAATCGATCCCCTTTTATTTTACCGGTACCGACAGGCACCGCTTGACTTTGGCTGCTTCTTCTTCCTTCCGTCCTTTCCTTCCTTCCTTCCAATATGTTCCGATCGACGGGTAAACGCCATGTTGGTGCCAGCTGGCTCCATTGTTCTGCCGGGTGGGTCGTCAGTAACTGCTGCAAGTCGACGCAACGTAGCGATTCAAGTCGCCTCCGTATGTCTGAACCGCCGCACGCCCAATCTGACTGCGCCTGATCCAATTATAGGCTGCAGTTCTCCTATTTCCTGAACGGCGCTTCTTCTGCCAATGTCAATACAATTTGCAGGGGAATTAGTTCATAGGAAAATGCGTTTGTCAGCGAATAATTAGAGAGGGACTCTGGTGTTCGGAATTTGACAAGGAGACATGAGGTTGCGATTAGGCTCAATCAGTGCTGCTTTAGAAGGGTGTGAATTTTAACACCTCGTCGAGTGCCCGCTCCAATAGCTACATTGGAACTCGACAATAAAACGATGGTTCAAATGCAGTGTTGTCTCACACGTTTTTGCTTGGTTCTATGCGACCTCTGAAATAGGCCAATTTCCCTCTGCTTCAAACAACATCCATTCCGAAGCTGTAATGTGAAACTGATCAATGTTTAGAGTCTCCTGCATTTTTTTTTTTATACCTTCACCGCCTCGCTCTCTCGTTCTCCCTCCCTCACAGGCTCGCTCACACACACACACACACACACACACACATGCCTTCACCGCCTCTCTCTCTCTTTCTCTCTCCCTCACAGGCTCGCTCACACACACGCACACGCCCGCGCGCGCTTGTCGACGCCTCTCAGCGAACACCTGGAACAACACCAGCTCTCATCCCTCTAATGAGAGAAAACATCGGCGTAAAAACAAATTTTTACATATCAGACGTGATGTTTGGGGATATGAGAGATACGATCCTTTGCTTACGAGAAGCACATTGAGTTGCCTTGTGTATGAAATGCGCTATAGAAATGAAACTGCCTTGCCTTAATACTGGTTTGTTGATTTTTTTTCTTTCTTTTTATCAAGTCAAGTCACATTTCTTTCTCTAGCCCTTAATCCCCAAATACTCTCAAAGGGCTTCGCATGCCCACAGTTGACAAGTATTCACGGCATCCCCTGACCTTAACCCCCACAAGGTCAAGAAAAAACCCATCTGGGGAAAAATGAGAAGCCTTGAGAAGTGGCCGCAGATTTGACACAATCTTGTACAAAACAACATTAGTTACAATGATATAAAATCCATCGAACAAGATGAAAACGCTGAATGAATACAAAATTGCCCGCACATCCATTACACGTACGTATTTGCGCTGCTACTTGCATTGGATTTCCCATTCATCTCATTTCTTGTACATTCTCCCTTTCATGCACACTGTAACCTGATCACACGCTAAGCTGTCCACTGTAGTCCCTTAAAGGCTTAAAGTCAAGCAGGGCTAGTTTTTCAAATGAAGCCGGTAACAAATCACGTTCACACTTTCGTTATTCTTGAGGTGGCTGTTTTGGTATTTTAAAGTGAGCGCTGCAGCCAAGCCGCTTGCTGTGGGCCCGCCTTGTCGATGGAGCCCACGCGGCTCCCTGTTGCCATCTGGTGGATTTCTGCTCTCAGGCAACAAAGATGACACGGAAAAAGTGCCGCGTGTGTATGTGTGTGTGTGTGTGTGTCAACCCCAGCTCTTGCCGTCCCGTGTCTACGGCCTGGAAACAACCGGCCGTCTTCTTAGCTGCGGGATCGGAACAAAAACAAGGACTGAAGGCCAATCGTTTCATGTGAAAGCTTGCCCAGATAGATGATGGAGGAATGTGGAATTATGAAAATGTCCCATTTGCTTATTTGATATTTGAAGGATGTGTTCCTTGGACTTGATTTGTTTCCGACTGCCCCCTCCCCTCCTTTTGCCATCTGTTTCAGTGCGCGTCGGAGCTCTGGATCTCGAGGGGGATACCCGTCCGTCGGCTCTCAGCAGGCTGGGCCACACGTCGTCATTGAAGAGGGGGGGTAGCTTGCAGATGACGCGACCTAGCAGTGAGTACCAAGACGCACGATATGGATGCATTTCGTCACCACAACAAAAACTTGACTTTCGAAACATTTTGCACCTTGAGTTGGCTTCCAGCAACTTTTAATGAAGCTCCGCGTCCGATATTTAAATAAGATTCCGCCATGCGTGGTTCAGATTGTTCGGATGATTCAATATTTGTATGTTCATCCTTTTCAGATTGGCGCTTTGAAACCCCTCAGCAGGTGCAGTTTGTGGAAAAGCTTTCGGATGTGGTGATTGGCCAGCTGCCCAACTTCTGGAAGCTTTGGATCTCTTATGTGAACGGCAGTCTTTTCAGTGAGGTGAGGTCGTTCCGGTGAGAAGTTAGCTCTCCAGATATCAAACAACGGAGTTGCGTCTGCCCCGTCCGTCCGTCTCTTCTTCTGCAGACTGGAGAGAAATCTGGCCAGGTGGAAAAATCGAAGAAGAATGCGCGACAAAGGCAGAGCGACTTTAAAGTATGCGATATCATCCTGCCGATATCTGAACTTCGGAATGTAAGTTCCCCGTTGTTGTTTGCGTAGAAAATGATTGAGGAAGTGACCCACCGGCTGGTGAAGCTCGTCCGCGGGGCCCTGCTTGCTACCACGCTGCCGCAAGGCGAGCAAAGTCTTTATGGAGGTTGGCAGAACAAGACGGAACTTCCCGGCGCCTGGATCACGCAAATCATTCACATTGTCAGGTGGAGATTCGTCTTTGAATCGATCGAACTCGATTCTGGTCTGCGCTATAATTGAATGGCCTCTTATCTTCTGATGCTCGTCCCCCCTCCAGGGCTTGCTATGAAGCTTTGTCTGCCTTGGAGATCCCCAACGATCTGTTGCAGGTGATCCAGGATCTGCTACTGGACTTGAGAGTTCACTGCCTCATGGTGACACTGCTGCACACCACAGATGGTGAGAGAGGCCGTATTGCAGCCGTTGCGGAGTAGACGAGCCGGAGTTTATTTTCATAACCAACTCGAAAGCACCCAAAATGAAAAAGGGAATCAGTTGGGTGATATAAAACACAAGATCGGGGGTGCCCAACATTTTTTTGACCAAAGATCTACTTTTCGATCAACCGCCCTCCCGCGATCGCCCTCGCGCGATCGACCCGTTACCGCGTGTGGAAAGTATATCGCTGCCTACCTTTTATGGAGACCTGACGCGGGGACACACTCACAAATGTTATTTTTCTTCCCCCCACCATTTCCCCCGACATTCCTCGCGCTGGACTTCGGACCCGTCCGCGGGCTACCGGTTGATCGCGATCGACATCTTGGGCACCCCTGCACAAGATGAACACCAAACTGTTGGTGCTGCCTTTTGCACAATGAACATCTGGTAGCAAGTACCTCAACTTTCACGTACATCTTATCACGAAAAAAAAAACAACAATAATAGAGGAAGTTTTACGACATTGAAGCTCAGTTTCACTTGTGGTTAAGTATGGCCAATTTGAGAAGAGTGACTGGCTTTCGCTTAGCTACCATGTGACTTCAGTCATCTCCGTTGAGTGTGTGTTTTATCACGTTGTGGTTTTCTTTTAGCCACTCGAATTACGTCGATAAGGCCCTTTACGGGCAAGTTCCATTTTATCCAGCAAGTTGTGAGAACTGTCCTGCAACTGACTGGCTGGCTACTAGTAGCGCACTTCTCAACTTCTGGGATCTGCTCCAGCTCGCCATTGACCCGAACAAGGAGGGATAGAATTTGCACAAATCCAATCTCCCATTTAATTTTTAATATTTTTTTTTGTGAAAACCATTGGGCTTTCAAATGTTGCTTTAACATACGGAGACAATAAATCACAGAAAGTCAACATGCATTTTCTGACTCGAGGGGCTCTGTTAAGAGACAAGCAAAGCATCCGTGACAGTTGAAGATCGGAGAAAGAATAAGCAGCATCACAATGGGTATCCGTGACCCATTTCAAATTGGAAGGAAACATCTGCCGAGCTCATTTGTATCCTTTTCAGATGTCAGGTGCCTGGCCGAGAAGGAAGACTGGGTGGTCGATAACGAAGGCCTGACCAGACTGGTAAGGATGCGGCACATTTCAGCATTTCTCTTTTTTTATATCTCGACATCTATTCAGCTTCAACAAGTGAGGGTCGTCTACTTATTGTTGGCGTTTGTGTGGATGTTTTCATGTCTTCTATTCTTGCTCAGCCGTCTCAGTTTGAGCAGTGTGTGGTCCAGATGCTGCAGTCACTCAAAGAGCCTCTGGAGATCAAATCAGGCGAGATCAACGTAAGATCCTAATCACAGTTGCAGAAATCATCCGCTGACGTAATTCCTGCTTGTCGCCTTCGCTTCTTGCTGACTGACTGTCTTTTTGTTTTTTTTTTTTTTTTTTTTTTGTGGTCGTTCCGAGTGACACAAATGACTTCAATTTCCTTGACATAATCCCATACCTGAACTTTTTACACTTTCTGCTGTTGAAATTCGATCTGCTAGACAGAGCCGCTGTCCAGCCCGCAGCTTTTCAACAATACGGAAGGCTGGCCGATGACGAGATTTACACTCGCATGTGTTTGATGGAAACAAAGACGACATAAAAGTGAATTGAGTGACAAATATCAAGAGAGCCGGTGACATTGTCTTTGCGTGCCATGTTTCCCCAGATACTACAGCTGGACCAAGTTCAAGACCAAGCCACCGACCTTTGCGTGAGCATCATGAAGGTGAGGACCGTTTTATTCCCGGCGCTACATTGTTGTCCTTTAACCAGCAAACAAAATGTCGAAGAAAAAAAAAAAGAAACAAAAGCCCGACAAAGCGAGCACCCGCGGCGCTCTGCCAACGAATGGCAAAAACCCTCGTCTGCGTCCTGGCTGCCGTCCAGGTGCCCTTGAGCAAAACCCCGAGCTCATTTGCTCATTTCAGGCGGGGGTTGGTCACTGTTCGCATGCCCCATCGTGACTAAGCTCTCGCATCTGTGCGGTCTACTTGGTGGTGTGAAACAAAACTACTCGGCGGCGTGTGAATTGAAACTCCCCTCACAGGACGACATTCATATCGTATGCTGCAGTGATTTCTCCCCGTCGGGTCGTTAGAGTAACTGCTCTCTCCCCGTGAGACGACGTTATGAACTTGTTTGCCGTGTACATGTATGCCACGTTTGTTGTCGGGTGTGCGATAGCACGCGAATATCTGTCCAAATATATCCGCCCTCTGATTGACAGACGATCCATCCCAAGTTATGTGAAAAGCGAGCACGTAAACGAGTCCCGTTTGTGTATGACAACCCAGCAGTGTGTTGTTCCAAACGTGTCTGACCAGAACGTCCGTGTCCACGTTAGGTTTTCATCAGCTGCCTGGAACAGCTCAGCACAAACCGAGATGGAGATGCGACTCTGTCTCAGTAAGTAGTGGCAAAGATTTTGCAATCTCGGAGTGACGATGTGTTCAGATAACTTTTATGTTTGTTGTAGCATTTCCATGGATCTGTCCTCTCCCGATCGCTTTAAAAACATGCAGGAATGCTCCAGTCCAACATCCGTAAGCATCATTTTCATTTTTTGGAAACCATCTCTCAACACACTTAAGGTCCCTTCGACCGTGACTGACAGCAACGTTCAACCCGTGTCGGAATCATTTCAACCATCAAATGTTATCGACCTATTTTCGGGTCGCGGACCAGCAGCTAATGCGTCCTCCTTTCCTGTAAGTCGTCAAATGCGTTCATCGTGTGCCGGCGAGGAGGAGGACGTTCTGTCGTCAGACCTTCCGGTAAAGGTCTATGGGGCGAGCGCAGGAGGGGTTTCCCCAGCGCCCATGTGGTTGCTCACTTCAGAAGTTGCTGATGTGTGTTATGTGTCGGTGCAAAGAATTTGGAGCAATATTTGGGGGAATGTAAGAATAAGGTGACAACATTTTGCAGTTGAGAAAATCAAAACGTGTAAAAATATGCTCTCGTTGACGTTTGACCCGTCCTTGACTTTGGTGTGGAGGAACCTGGCTGCTCCCAAAATTGGAACTTACCGTAAAATGCCGTACAAGATGAGCATTTTTGTCCCACCAAAAATGATCCCAAATTTGGCGGAAGTACTACACACGGGTGTGAATAAGGCACGACGTTTTCCCAGGGCCTCGTCGGTAGCTCTCGGCACGGCAGCAACAACAGGTTGTTCGGGATGACGCTTTCAAATAAGCTAGCGTATGTTTGAAAGAGAAAAAAACAGTGAACATCGAGTACGTTGCTGTCTCCGTAGGAACAACGCTTGCTCATCGTCCTCAGCAACTGCCACTACCTGGAGAGGCACACGTTCCTCAACCTGGCTCATCACTTTGAGAAACATGGATTGACGGGCACTGAGAAGATCACACGGGTCAGTGGAATGTTCCGGGAGCTTTGGCTCGAAATTTCCACTGTTGCCAAACTCTGATCTCAATGATTAGTGAGTCATCTGCTTATTTGCCTATTGTGGGCGTGCGCCTCAGTCAGTCCACAGATGTGTGAAGTTCTACTGAGACACGATGCTTTCCGTCCTGCCCGGCTCACTTGTCATAAGAACACGGACCAAGAACCTTGTCACCTTTCACACGGTGACTCATGTTTGATTCACAAAGCGAGGAAATATTTAGTCTCACTTTCTGGTCAAAGTCTTTTCTTTGAAATCGCTATTTTCGATTTCAAGTTTCTTGAAAAATCACAGGTTTTCCAAAGTTAGAGCTTGACCTTGACTCGCGAGAACCCACATCCCTGACAACTAACCCGGATTGTCCTCATTTTGTTGTTGAAATCTCTGAGCCCGACCTCATTACGGATGGGATATGGGATATTTTTGATATTAAAAAAAAAAAAAAACAGTCGTGGGTCACCTTGAAACCACGGCGATTCCGCCGGTGGCTCCGGTTGGGGCAAGGGTCGCCGTGGGAAGCTGCGCGGATGACGAGTCCAAAGTTAGCTGTAAGCTAACAACTTGACTGGGTCCGAATGGCTGCTCATTTTAATAGATTCATCTGAGTGGCGAGAAACGCTTAGCACATGAGTCCGAGGGGAACTGTAAGGTAGCCAGTCGGCTCGACCTCGATCGCTTCTCGTTTTCATAGAAACATAATCGGCGACGAGAAACGACTGCACCCGCACAAGTGAGCTTACGACACAGTCGAAGCCATTCATACAATTGTACTCTTCAGACTTGCTCACCATTCTATTTTGCACGTTGCCTGGTGAACCCGCTATTGACTTGTGAAGAATGAAAACCAAATTCCAGAAGCAAGCGGTCCTCGTGAGGATTGACGTTTGTGGCGTTGTCTTTGCAAGTACGCCGACGTCTCGACGTACCTCTGTAAGCCCCCACCTCCCCTCCCATTCCCAACTCGGCTGACTGCCGCTTTTGCTGTCTCCCACCTCTCAGATGAGCATCGTGGCCGTTCGGGAACTGGATGAAAAACTATTTGACGCTTACATTGAACGCAGAGCTGACCCGATCGCGGGCTCACTGGAGCCGGGCATCTACGCCGGCTACTTTGACTGGAGAGACTGTCCACCCCCGACAGGTACTTGCGCAGTCAAGCCCCACCGCCCGTACAAACACTTCAAAAAGAGGCCATATGGAAGGATTTGCTCGTCATGCGCGGCGCACGCAGGAATTTCCCCACAACTCAGCTTCCTGACTCAGATTGTATCATAAACAAAGGTCTCGGCAGACCTGTAGGAGGAGAACTCTGCTCGTTCGTGTCCCGTGTAAAGTACAGCGCCGAGGGCTTACTGTAACAACCGCTGAGATCGTTCGCTTCGCTCGCTCTTCGGAAAAGACGCAACAGCCCCGGCATCTGAGCGGTTGTCTCGGTGTGTGTTGCACTTGTCAAAACCCAGATGAAGCTGCTTTGCATATGTGTGGTTGACCTTAGCGCAGCTTGGAAGGAAATGTGTGCATGCGTGTGCGTGCGCGCGCTTGTGTGTGTGAGAGAGAAGAAGCACCGTTTTGGTGAAGCTGAACCTTGTTCTGCTTTGCTCCGACTAGTTTGTGCAGGCTGGATGTGAAAGAGGAACATTTTGGAATACCACACCGCACTTGTAGGATATGATACTTTCGCTTGTTGCACATGAGTGTGAAAGTCATGTTTGTCGGTGCTATACATAAAGAAAAAAAAAGATGGCTTCATGCTGTCACTCACTTATTCTTTTCAAAGTAATATTTCAACATTTCACTGCAGTATTGAGCTTTATTTTCACCTCACTGGTTTGTTGTTTTTTTTGGGTTTTTTTTTTTTTTGCATTTGGTTTAAATTTGAGGAAAATGAATAGAAAAGATTATTATTACATTGTTCAATCTGAGACGCAAGTGAACAGATGAATTTTTCACCCTGATTCAGAACCTGCCCTCCCTTTTCTCAAGCACATCCATTTTTCCACAATAGTAATGAGATCGATCACTGGTAGGGGGGGGAAAAAAAAAAGAGAGGAAAATGGATGTTTTAGATCAGCGTGAAAAATTGATTTGGAGACTCGCATCGCTGATTCAAAATTGGCTGTTTTTGCACGTTTGATGTCGGATTGAGCACGCTGCTTCTTTTTCAGGGGTGAGGAGCTACTTAAAGGAAGCCTTGGTCAACATCATCACCGTTCACGCTGAGGTCGAACAATCATTGACCCTTTTTTTTTGCGCTGGTCTTGCATGAATGAAGAAGATTCTTTGACCTCCTTTGTCATCTTTCCTTCCCCCAACGTTCTGTCCGGCAGGTGTTTACCATCTCCAAGGACTTGGTCCCTTGCGTCTTGTCCAAAATCCTCGCAACGGTTGCGGACGAGATGTGCCGCCTTATGCAGTGCGTGTCATCCTTCAGCAAAAACGGCGCCCTGCAGGTATTCTCGTCACACACTCACTCCAAGCAACTCCAAGTGAGTTTCCCCCGTTTGTGGGAAAGCCACGTTTGTGACTGCCACCTGCCGACCGCCGGCGGCGGTGGGGTGTGTCGGCCATCTTGCTTTGGTCGCCGTCTTAACATTTGCGCCTTCTCCTGCCAATTCGCAGGCTCGACTTGAACTTTGCGCCCTGAGAGATGCCATCGCGGCCTACCTGAATGCCGAAAGCAAGTAAGTGCGGCGCAAGCGCACGCGGGTTGCCGCAGCCAGACACTCGGCTTGGCTCTGTGATTTATGACTGTGTGTGTCTGACACGCACGCACGCACGGTCACATGTACCTCAAAACGATCCCTATTTATGTTCATTGGTGGGTTACATGGTAGGAAGTGAAAGCAATCTGGTTGTGCTGCGTGCATTCACGCCGCCCGCCGCGTGTTAACTGGGGCTGCAATCGTCCAAATCATTTTCGTATCGCGGTAAGTGCGAATAGTTCGTTGCCGTGGCAACTGCACGGGGCACTTAAGTTCACGCTCGACTTTTCTCCATCATGATGCCCAAGATACTCTTGTCTTGTTGCGGTCATGTGACCGTAAATAATCCACATTCATGTTATTCCACGGCAGGTTCCACACGAGTTTTGATTGATTTATTGTCTCCAGCTCAACAATTTACGATTGGCGCGCAGCTTTAACTGAAGAGATTCCCCCACTTAGCATCAAGAAATAATTACGTGCAGCGCCTTCGTTTTCAGAGACCGCAGGTGAAGGAAACCCTTCTTAGGCTACAAATCAACGATAAGCCACAAAGGTGGTCGCTTCCACCGTGCAGTTGGAAAAAAAGACAATACGTTCGTCTCGTCGCTCACCCGCTCGCTTATTTTCTTTCCCGCTTATCCGCATCCCGGCACTTAAGTTCACGCTCGACTTTTCTCCATCAAAAAAAAAGACCGTACGTCCGTCTCGTCGCTCACCCTCTCGCTTATTTTCTTTCCCGCTTATCCGCATCCCGGACGGGAGAGCCGACATGCTTCGAGGTCCCCAGAAGGATTCCGCCCTTTTACTACACCTCAATTTCAGAAGCATTTTTTTTTACTTGGCGAACTTTGACACTGACTTTTTCTAAAGTTGAATCTTTTGTTCACAGCGCCAGCTTCAAAATGGCTTTGGACGCCCTTCCTCAATTATACGGCGCGTCTGAGAAAAAGTGAGTGCGCCGCCGGCCATTTCGGTCCGACGTCGTTTCGTCCCGGCGAAGGGTGACTCGCGTCTGTGTCTGTCTTGCGGCAGGTTACTGGAAGAACTGCTGAATAAGTTTAAGAGCAGCATGCGCCTGCAGCTCACCTGCTTCCAGCCCACCTGCATCCAGCCTGTCAAGAGATAAACTCCACCCACTCTTTGTTTCTTGCCTTTGTGCGTTTTCATTGACGCACGACAACAACATTGCCTTTGCTTTCATTTTGTACGTCACGAGCCGTAGCTTGAAATCTTCCACTAATTTGGGGTCGGGGGCGGGCGGCCCTGCCAGAAAACGTTCTGAGCTCGTGTCTCGTGTTTATGATTGGTCCTCTTGCCATTGAATTACCCGCAGGCTTTGTTTGCTGACAACAAAATATCATCTCGAAATGTTCGAATGAAAATGTGATTAAAAAGCAAAGTGTCCGCTTACGTCCTTTGCTCCTTTTATCTGACAAACGGGGCCCCGATGGCATGACGAGTGATCATGTCGCCTACTGAGGTGAGCTGATCACATTCAAACCAGTCAGCCAGGTTCTTTAATGACGAGAAAATGATGAAACCCTGAAAGTATTCTTCATCAAACAATCATGGGGGTGCATCCTCAGGAATGCTCTTGGTCACGGACGGACGAACGGAACTGATTCTCGTTCCGTGTCTTTTCAGTTCATCCCACCGAAAGGCATTTCTTCCCATTTCAAGAGAACATTTCTGTCGGCCTGACAATGCACAAATGACATTTTGCACAGCCGTTTTCAATGCCGACAGTTGAGCCACGCGGCACACGTTTATTTTTGCAGGCAGTTGGATTCACACGACGGGTGCGGCCATTCATCTGCACCCTCGACTTCCTTCGGGGTCGCCTGGCGCGTCCTCGTCTCACACTCTCAGGGTGCGGTCCGCCAGGGCGGTTGCGCAAAGGAACAAGCCCCTTTGCGGTTTTGCTATGTGCTTCGGCGCTGAGGCAGAGATTCTGCCCCAGCACACTGCAAGCGCACTCACAATCCGGCCTTCACTAGAGACGAAGTCAAGACCTGGATGGCACTCGGATTTCTTGAGTTTCAATGAAAAGAAGACAGAAGTGATGGTGGCCCTTGTACATGCCATCTTGCGGACTTGGGCCCTCCTGGCTCCTTATCCGAAGCCAACAATCTTAAAGTTGGGTCTTAAACTGGACAGTGATTGGAAATTGGACTGGCAAATTGGTGCCGGTGTCAAATCCGTGTTCTTTGGCCTTCGGCAGCCTCTTCTTTCGCTGATGAGCACTTTGAAACAGTCATTAATGCTTTCATAACATCTCTGCTGGATGACTGTAACGGGCTATACTTTGGAGTCAGCCAATCCTCCATCAAGCATCTCCAGTTGGTCCAAAACGCTGCCGCTTGCCTTTGTCTGGTACTCGTAAGAGGGAGCTCATCACTCCTACTCGAGCATCCCTTCGCGGGCTCCATTTTAGAGTTCTTTTGAAGATCCTCTGATTTGTTTTCCAATCTTGAAATGGCCTGCTCTGATTTGTGGAGTTGAAACAAGAGTAATTGAATACGTCAGCTTTCTTTTCAGCTGTCAGTTGAACGCAATTCATCTCGCTTCCGTGAAATCATGACCATACCGGACATCACGTTACATTTTTTTCTACTGCGTTTACAAAGACCCAAATTTAAATGTCTCGTTTTATTGCTGCGCAACTGCAGAGGAGCCGAACATTCCATTGCAGTCAGAAAATATAGACAATCATATATTCCTCAACTACATATTGATAGGTGGACTGAATTGGGTCCAACGAGCACACGATTCAATGTCAGTATATCTTGCTTTAAAAAAAAAAAAAAAAAGACAATGAAAACACTGCAAAAGTTAGTAATCCTTTCAAAAGAATTTGAAAAAAAAATTCTAAAGAAAAGCAGTCACGTTTTGGATGGCAGTATGTTTGTTGAGCAAGCTCATGATGGTCAGTGTGCATCGAAAATCGACGTTGGCATCGATGGATCGGCTTATTGTACGTTCATAAAATATACCAATTCGGACATTCATCAATTCAAAGAGGCGGGTAACTCGCGCTGGGCACATCGACAGCGATTCCAACTCCTGTGTGATTTCGAGAACATGCCAACTCCACACAGGAAAGTTTTGAGCTGTGATTTTGAACCCAGATCCTCTGGACTGCGAGGCAGGCACACTAACCACGACTCCACCCCGCCGCAGAAGCCAAACATTCCTCGAGTTTTTCAACGATAGCGCACGAGCTTGCATTTGCGCACCGAACGATGCCTTCGGCAAACAAACTTAATTTTAAAATGAGTTTGTTTGAGGGCCTCGACAAAAGTGTCAAGTTGACGTTATGCCGTTTTGCTTGCACTGAAGACACTAAAATGTTGATGACTTTGACATCCGTTTCCACGTAGGAACAAACAAAGCCCGTCCTGAGAATGGGCCGCTTTGTCGGCGGGAGTGCGAAGCTGCTCGGGCGAGTGCTCGGGTCACTCCTGCAGGCTGTGATGTTGCGTGAGGGCCCTGTGATAGTCCTCGGCGAGGCCGATGTGCTCCGGGAGCCCGGCGTGCTCGTAGCCGCGGTACAAATGGCCACCGCCTGTCTGCTGGGCGTAGTACAGGACCTGCCTGGCAAACAAAGGCTCCACCTGCATGGGAGAAAAGCACCGTTGGCGGCGGTCGAGACTCGGCCTGAGATAAGATGAGCAATTAGCTGTCACCTGCACGGTGAGGCCCGCTCTCGGGGAGTCGAGGCACTCCTCTCCGAAACTCAGAAGAACCTGGAAGCGAGCGGCCAGCGGCCGACCGTGGAACCCGTAAGTCTGCATCTCTGTTCATCGGAACACAGACGCAAGGTGTCAACTTCTTGTACGGCAAAGCCAGCGAAGCGTAAAAGGTTCGTTTGAGGTGTGACCTTTTGGGGGATGGGGGTGGGGGGGGATGACTCGAATGGAAACTTGTGGCCACAACGCGTTTGCAAAGCCATTTCGACTATGCCACGCTTGAGCTGTTTTGGCGCGTGGGCGGGGGACGCGCAGACGGCGTAGAAAACACGAGCGGCACCGTCATAAAGGACACCCCAGAAAAGAGTCGGCCACACCTGTTGAGAGCGAATCCTTTGGGGGGACTTTGCCTCGGAGGTTTTGGTCCTATTAGTATTCAAAGGGCGGTTTTGAATCACTGATTAAATCAAAATGCAATTTTTGATGAACCAGAAACATCAAGTAAAAGTGTTTCGAATTGTTTTAGACAAATCTGAACTATTAGGACCACCGATTCATCGGCTGGCTGATTTAATAGGCCGATATTAGCTATTTTAAAGGGCAACCATTATTGCCTTCCCCCTTTTGTTTTCCCCAAACACGTTACAGCATTACACCAAGCTAGTGACAATCAAACACCCAAAAACTTTATGGTGTAATTTTTGCAGATTTTTTTTCTCTGTTTTGAAGTTGAACAAATCGTAAAGGACAATATAATGTTAAAAAAATGCTTTGCCCGTATTTTTATATCTTTATTGTTGTATGTTGATAGTATTTGAGTTTCCTAAGGTTTCTGTAACAATGTGAATGAATGAAATGAATGAAATTTGTTCAAACAAAAGGCCCGAAACTTTGACGCTTTGATTGGGGCAGGCTGAAGGGCTGAAGCTGGTCTTAGCTGGCCATTTGGTGTCCTGAAGTTGAAGTAAATTGAATATAAGTTACTTCTTGGGCAACACCACCATTCGGGTCCCGAGACAAGTCCCTTCATGACGTATGTCACCAAAACAGGATCATTTTGAACCAACGCTGTACTGATAACCCGCTACGGCATTTCTTACTCGCTTTAATTCATCAATCAGTCTGCGTCGTAATCGCTGGGTTGAAATAAGCCAGCCTGGGCTTGGCTCAATCCTTTTTGGACCCACCGTCGGGTGAGCTGTTTTCGCCCAATTTTGAGTTCCGTACTTGACAGACTAACAGCCAGAGTCAAAAAACGCTACATACTGAGTCCAAATATGACCGTTCCAAAAGAAAAAAAAGACGGGATTCTTTACCGCTGCCTGCTGGCCATTGGAAGTAGTACAAGGAGCCCTGTCAGGTCTCACCTGTGAGGTAGTCCTGCGTGTGGAGTAGTTTGCAGGTGACCGCTCGCTCCAGCTTTTTGGGCTTGTCCCCGTAAGGGCTGAGTCTGGCCTGCCAGTACACCCGGCCCTCACACAGTCGCTGAGCGTAGAGTCCGTCGGGGGCCATCCAGCACAGCACCCCGCCCTCCAAGGATGCGCAGGGGCTCGCGGGCCGCTCCTCTGCCCCCCTCTGGCCCGAGAAGGGGTCCGCGGGCAGCAGGACCACATCGCGGCCTCCCGAGGATAAGTAGTGCTTGTCCTCCGGGGAGGCTGGAGTGATGTGGCAGCCTTCGGGGCTGAAGGTCGTCACCTCCCTCACCAGAGTGTCCCGCAAATAGACTGACACGTGCAGGCGGGCGTCTGTGTGGAGACAAGCACAAGGCAGCACGGACAGGAGACAACATTAGTCGTTGCTCTCTTCTCAAAGGGTCTCGCTTTCGTCCCGGAAGCGGAGGCATTTTTACTCGGGCTCGGACTGGGCGGAGTTTTGATCAAGACCGGGCCGGTACTGCTGTGATCATTGAGAAACGCAGAATGCTACGCCGCCTTCCTGGTGTGGCTTTGTTTCGTTGTACGACGATATCAACAGAACAAAATTTGTTGGGAACAAAAGATACTTGTCTCGGCCTCGATATCTTGACGGCAACGCTATGACAGCCTCGTTCCAAAATGGAATCCTATTTCGCAAATTGATTCAAAATAAGCGCCACCTCTCAAGCTCCATCAGGTTGGTTGGGGAGCGTACCCGGTGCGCAATCGTTTTCGGATCTCTCCCAAGATGTTTGATTGGCTTCAAGTACGGGTTCTGTTCTGGCGGATTCACTTAAAAGACATCCGCAGAGTTGTCCTGAAGCCACTCCTTTGTTTTTTTTTTGGCTGTGTGCTCGAACTCGTTGTCCTGTTGGAAGTTAAACCTTCACACAAATCGGAATTTCCGGACACTCTGGAGCCGGTTTTCATCCCGAAAGTCTCTGTGCATTGCGGCGTTCATCCTTCCCTCATTTCTTTTTCTTTTTAATGAATCTGCAACCATTCAAATCAAACTTTGTTGACATTGTCATCACAGGGGGGGGGGGGTTTATTCCATTTTGGACTGAGGCTGTAACATGGCAAAGTGCAAAACAAAAAAAAAAAACGTTCATGAAAAAGTGAAGTGCTGTGAATACTTCCCGGATGCACTGTGAATTGTGCAGGTAATACTTATCAGTCTTAATACTGTAATTGGAATTAGCGTCGCTGACCCAAACAAAAGTGCAAATTGGCCTTTTGTGACCCCCTTTTTCAAATTGATGATTCGATTCTAAATCATCACAATGATCGATACCTCGGAGAGCCTCTGCTGATCTGATGCTGCTGTCCAGATTGAATGGCGAGGGCTGAGTGTCAGCAGGACCGTAGGAGTAAATTGAGGCTCGAAGCTGGTAACCTGCACATGCACGCACACACACACACACACAACCAACCCCAGACGCGCCGCACGTGGCATTTCAAGGAAGGCCGTTGCTTCTTTTTGAAGAGTGAGCAACTTACCGTTATCCGCAGATGGGCCCTGCCAGGGCAGGCTGCGGGGGGGATATGGGCACTGAGTGAAGGGCAGCTCTGGCAAAGGGGCGTGATCCTGACCGAAGTCCCTCCAGCCACATTCTACCGAGGGAAGGTACTGCGGCGTCTTCAGAACGAGAGGCAACAGGCGCTTCAGCGCATCCAAATTGGGACGACAAACAGCTCTCAGAGCCTTTTCGGCGGATCAGAAAGAATCACCTGAGTTTGAAGGGAAGGGTAAGCCGAATTCGCAGAGTAGCTGACGGGACTCAGAGGGCTGCCCTCTTCTCTGGGCCCTGAAAGTGACGTCGGTCACGTTAGCTCACTCTGCTCAGCGGAAAAAGGAAGGCGTTGCGGCGCGGCGGCGACGGCTGGTTTGCGGCTGGGCTCTCACAACAAGGAGTCGCCCCACCGATAGTTCACAAACCACGAGCCGCCTTCGAGAAAAAGGCCACCTCCGCCGGCGAGGGTAAAACCATCACTTCAACCACTTGTGGATATTTACCGGCCGTTTGCTGACAGAAATGGTGCCGCTCACTTTTCTTGGCGCCCTCGGGAATGATGTGGTAGACTTTGTAGGGGTCCGAAATGTCCAGCTGGCTGCGCTCCACCAGTTCCTCAAAATCGTTGCTCTTGTTGAGGGCGCAGCGGAGGCGTGTCTTCCAGGTGGGCGGGTCGGGCTTATCCACCCCCTCGCGATACTTGCCTTTAAACAGCGCCCAGGCCTGCGGCGACATCACCGTTACAAACTTGATACTCCCCACTTGTTGAAAAACCTCAAGCATTCCCGCTTGCTGTCGACTGAAAATGACATCACGGTTGCTCGGGGCACAAGTCGTGACCAGTTATGGTTCAGCTTCGGAAAACAGATGCGCCGTGATTGGTCGTAAACGGAGTCCCGAGCAACTGTGATGTCGTTTTTACAGTTGACAACGTGGCAAAGTGGTTGCCCCGCCCTGAGATGGCGAAAAATGGCTGGATTTCGCCGCTTCATTCATATTCCACAAAGACAATTGTCATCTAAATGCCATGTCAGACTTGTGGGGACCTGCTCGAAGGGAAGACGATACTCATTTTGGAAGATGCAATTGTCATCTAAATGTCATGTCAGACTTGTGGGGATCCATAGAACATATTATTGTCAAAAACATTTTGGACTTGAATTCTCCTTGAAGATTCCATGACCGGTTTGGTCTGTAACATGTCAGAAAAATCAGGAAAACTGTGGATCCTTGGTTTCGAAAGCAAAAGCAAATGTTTGAATTGGATTCCACGCAAAGATAATTAGTCTGCTCGAAGGGAAGACGATACTCATTTTGGAAGATTTGAACTTGAAATCAAACAAAGTCTCGGAATGATTAATCAATGATTAAAAGACTTACTGATGATTTAGATCATTGATTAGCGCCCGATCAATCGTTGCACCTCCAACGCATGCTATTGCACCCTTGAGGAGGCCATATCTCTCCAAATGCGGTTACACGGGGCTCTTCCGAGGAAATTGTCATTGTGAAATTGAAGATGTTGAATTTCAAATCTTGAACCTTCGACATTGAAATGCAATTTTACATCCCACAAAGTATAATGTAATTTTCGAGATGCTTATCGTGATCTTTGCTTTCCTCTGTGACATTTAATGCCCCCTCTCCCGCCCCCTTAATTCTTCAGGGTCTTTTTGTTGCTGCATGCTCATTGAACGTCACAGTCTTGGGGTGCACGTCTGACCTCCCAAATTAAAAAAAAAAAAAGTTCTCAATTTCGGTGATCAATCCCTCAAACGCGAGGCGAGCCAACGCCAATCCAAGACGGCAGCCAATGGAAAGCCGGTGCACATTTTGAACGAACGCGGGCAGCGCCGGTTGCGAGGACGCGGCAAGTTTAGAGGAGCTCACCTTGAAGAGCGCGGCATCCTCGTCGCGGTTGTAGTCCTGCTTGCCGGCGTGCTTCCACGGGATCCGGAAAATGCTTTTCTCATCGTTTTCCCACACCAAGCCGGCGTATTTGCCGCAATCCACCTGCTCAATGAGCCACTGGCGCAACTTTCCGTTGCCGCTGCTTCCGGGAAGTCCGCAATCCACTTCGGGGTTCATGTCGCCCCTCTC